TTAAGTAGAATCATCACTCAAATACCTTTCAATTTAATGTTTTTCAAAAATTTTGTGGTCAATTTTTAGGTGCTAAAATCTTTGAAACGGCTAGAAATTTATCAAGTTAAAACTGACGCCTACTCAATTGAGTATTGGTTATATTCCTAATTAGCAGTAAAAATTCAATTGTCTCAAAATGTCCCCTTATGATTTGTGGCTCATTTTTAATAAACGTGTGTAAATAATAATTATATTAATTCACACTAGAGGACATTTGAATCAGTGAACGTGACAACCACGGCGCACAACTTGTGGGCGTGGTCTTGTCAGTTCTCAGCATTCAGCACAATGTTATGGTGTTATGGAGGATAAGAAATATTTGGACATGCTGGTTGCATGAAAATGTCAAGAATGGGTTCCTCCTATTATGTTTTATTCAACGACAGGACTAACATCTTTTTGATAACTTGATTATAATTGGTGACTTGACAACCTTGCTTCATGAGTGGAAAAAGTAAAACTTTCAAAAAGCGAAATGTCAACTTATTTCATGTCAGACGTTATTTCGCTGCTATGGTAATGATCATCTGCATCAAAACCATATCTACCAAAATTTGTATAGTCACAATACAATGTCAACAACGATGTGATACTTCCCGGCCTAGTCTGGGAAATGAGTACGAACTAGGCTGGAAAAATGCTACATTCTCAAAAAAAAAGCGTCGTCGAAAAAACATTTTCCGGGCGTAAACACCTTTTTTTTAACTAACAAAGCAAGATTCTTTATAATATTTATCTGTACAAATAATCTAATCCTTTTTTGAGAAATAGGAAGATTCGTTTCCATCATCAGGAAGACCCGGAAAGATAAAATTAACAAAGTTGACATTCACTCTTCGCTTCAAACAATTCACTATTTTTGATAGGTTTGAAGGTCTCAAATCCACAAGTTCTTGTTATCACAATTTTTTTGAAGGAGGCGGAGGCTAGAATTAAAATATGCGATAATTGAGATATTCAATGGGCATTCCGATGTTTTATTGATTGCACCTCGTAATATCAATTAAAACGACCGGTATGCTATCAAGTCTTTGTATCCGGCTCATGATTTGTGAAGGGTGTTGTCAATTTAGTATAGCGATCTTATTCTTCGGCGGGTCATAACTGTATTCAGAGAACCATTAATCTCGTTTTATGATACGATCAATATTAATATAATAAATATATTCGAGACTAGACTAGATGTATGCGGGTCGAATAATTCGTTTTGACAAATGCAAATAAATATTTCTGAACAATCGGAACATCGAGACTAAATTACAATAGATAGACACCGCAAATTCATTCATGAATCATTATAGTTGTTTATGTACCAAGGGCGTAAAAGCTTTTATGGACCGTAGCGTGTAAGTATTAACACTCCTAGGTCCATAGAAACAAGTTACGACCGAAATACATACAACATTTTATGCACGGCCGGTATATTTAATTTTTCATTGTGAATACCTCTTCACGTTTCAAGAACGATGAAAATACATCATGGCTACAGTGAGGACTATCATTGATTGATGGAATCAACGTTACCATGGTAACTCAGTAAAATTTTCATATTTCCTGTTAATGTCATCACAGATAACTTATTCTCGAGGGGTAAACCGCGATGGAATTCTGGTATACAAACAACTGGAATTCCTTGGAATTTCCTGGATTTCCTTGGAATTCCTTGAATTTCCTTGGAATTTTCTGGAGTTTCTTGAGTGAAGTGCGGTATATTCCTGGTCCACAAACAACTGAAATTCCTTGGAATTCTTTGGATTTCTGGTGTACAAACAAATGGAATTTATTGGAATTTCTTGAAATTCCTTGGAATTCTTTGGATCTCTTGGATTTCCTTGGATTTTCTTGGAATTCCTCGAAATTTCTTGGATTTCCTTGGATTTTCCTGTAATTCCTTGGAGTTTCTTGGAATTCCTTGTGTGAAGGGCGGAATAATTCTGAGGTACAAACAACTAGAATTCCTTAAAATTCCTTGTGAAATTGAAGCTTGGTGTACACAATTTTGACCGCGGTTTATCCATCCTACCAAGAATAAGCTTGGTACGATCATATTAGGTTCCATCTCAGAAATATCGATAGAACTGTGATATTTGATAATGGACAATCACAACTAAAACATAGATGTCCCTAATTATACAGGAATGCTTATTACGAGTAACCTATACGCTTGGCGATAAAGTGCTACTTTATGCCCGCTCGTGCTTAAAAAAATATTCGCCAACAAACCTAAATGTAGAAAGGTCAGCGACCTTTCACTTTTCTATCGATATTTCCACGGGAAATGTTCTTCGGAAATCTCTGCAATCATCCCTTCACTAGCAATACCAATCAGACGAACTAGACAAGCCCAGTCAACACATCCTTTCGTTGTCAACCTCGAAGGATGTCGAACAGCACTTTATCAAGACTCCTTCATCCATAGAACGGCTAGGCTCTGGAATTCATTGCCTGTGGAAGTATTCCCAACAACATCAAAAATTCAAAAAAAAATCCAATACCTACCTCCTGTCCCTATCCTCCCTAGGAACGCACGATGTTCTTTGAACATTATAGGGATTCCCTTTCGTGCGCTCCAATCGATAAAAAAAAAAAAAAATGTCAAACACGGATCGGATAACTCTGCCAGAGAATTGATGTTCTTTGTAGATATATTTTATGTATCAAATAAATCGGGATCACCATAAATGAGTGTATTTTTGCAAAGTCTTAGTGAGGTTATTAGATATTTTCAATATATTCAATACGCTCTTCATCTTCAAAAGCAAGCCATCGAACAAGATCGTCACTGGACCAAATTTTTACGTTCCTGCGAAGTATCAGGTTAGGATATTTGTAACAGAATATTCTTCACAGATTTGACACTACCGAACCATATTTATTCACTAAATAGTCTTCTTCAGATTTATAGTATTAAAATATTCTGAGAAACCATTGATAACAACAAAAACGACAAATGACATTTCTCACTATACAATTATTGCTCGTATACTAGGGAACTTTGCTATACCGCCATGTTCATCTTTAGATGATTCATATTTCTTATTTTGCTATGTTAGTAGCGACTTTCTTACAATGGGGAAAACCACCGAGGGATGAAATCCGACCAAATCTCTTTGAATCGAAGAATCATGATTTACATTTAATGTACAATCATCAATATTATAAGTTAAAGTTGAAGGGAATCGAATCTATAGCGTTTCGAAATCAGCATATTCCATTCGAAATTACAAAAAGCCAGATATGAAGGTGGGAGCTGTGACGTATTAGTCCCGAACTGTAGCTGTCTCTCTCTGATACCTTGCCATTCTGCAGTGTGATTGGTCAGCTCAAGGACAATAGGCGTGTTGGGACTAATACGTCACACCTGTCACACCAATGTCTTGACACCATTTCGAATGGAGCAGGAAGTGTGTGTTTTGAAATGAACATACTTTTTTTATCGTCCTAGTATGAATGAAAAAATCAGTGGTCTCTCCCATATTGATGCCGAGTTGAATAAGCTGTTATATCCAAAAAAAACCCTCTCGATTCATCGATTTGGCAGCGGTTCCACAGAAGTTTTCAAAATGTGATTATTGAAACCAAACAAAATGAGAACCTACTCGTGACAAGCTCAAAGCAGCCGATTCTCATCTACGATATCTTTATTGTATGTCGAAAATATTCGAATACGCTTTTCTGAATAGACTTCTTTCATTTTCTGATGATCACAATATCTTTACAAAAAACCAGCATGGATTTCTGAATAAAAAATCCACTACTACAGATATACATTGCCCTTCTGTTAGGCAAACTATTCCGTTATGGCATACGTGGTACACCATTAGCATGGATAACAGACTATCTTTCTTATAGAAAACAATACGTCGCTATTAACAAAGCAACTTCCAGCATGGTCTTCTCTGAATTAGGAGTACCTCAAGGGTCGATATTGGGACCCATATTGTTTCTTTTGTATATTAATGATTTGCAATATTCAATTCCTGAAACATTCATAACAATGTATGCAGACGACAGATTCAATGAGGTTCCATCATCGGCAACGGAGGTGTGATATCATAAGCTTTAGAGCTAATGATAATTCTGACACTGTAACAACAGAGTGTGAGAGCTTGAAATTTTTACGTCTTCACATTGATGAACATTTAAATTGGCAGAATCACTGTGATTTTCTGATAAAAAAATTTAGTGTACTTCATATGAGTTCAGGAATATAAGGCAGGTTTTGAATGATGATCAGCTGCTGAAGCTGTACTATGCTCAGGTGGATTCCAGACTTAGCAATGGAGTGTGCTTCTGGGGGTTTTCCTCTAGCTGCTCTGATGTCTTAATAGCACAAAAAAACTCATACGAATCGTTAGTGGCATAGGTCTCTGATTCATGCAGACCAGCTTTCAGAAATTTTAAAATTTTAACTGTCCCTAGTCTTTTAATTTTTGACTTGTGCTTATCTGTGTTCGAGAATAGAAATACATTGTTTGTACTGAATAAATGTAACAATATTGATACAAGACGAAAAAACAATGTTTTTGTACCATTTGGAAAAACCAAATTAGCTTTCGAATCTCCTGGCCAGATGGCTCCACGTGTTTATAATTTGCTACCAGATTTTATAAAAGAATCCAAAACTGTTTCAATGTTTAAACGAACACTCAAGAATTATCTTCTGGATAAGTGTTATTATAGTCTTTCAGGATTTCTTTAATCTCCGATCGCCTTTTCTTTTCTTGTTTTTTGACGATTCCTATACAAATTTCGTAACTTTGTCTAAAAGGAAAATAAAGATTATTATTATTATTATTATTGCAGAAGAAGAAATCGATGTCGTCTCAGTGGTGGACAAGAAACAATTCACCAACAACCACCACCACCACTCCACCATTATCAACAACCACAACCACAGGGTGTTTTCGTTGCCGAACAACCCTTCCAACCGAGACAGGCACCAGATCCAGCGGCGCATGGCCACCGCCATATCGAAAAAGAAGATGGCGAACAACAGCATCAAAACCATTCTGCCGATCAGGCGGAAGTCCGGTGCCAGCTTCAGTCCTCCGGATTGTTCCCCGGCTAAGAAGAAGGCCCAAGGGGTGAAACGTACCAAGCAGCCTAAATTGGTGAGTGTGACTTTTCGACTCTGACACAATAACTAACGGAGAGTAGTTCAGCATTAGATTTAATACATACTGCTTTATGCCCACATCTCGTTACTCCCACATCGCGTTGTTCCCACATATTTCGATATGCCCACATTTCGTTATGCCCACATTTCGTTATGTTATGTTTTTTCAAATGGAACATCCTGTGTATTTTTTCATATCTGAAACATTTTGTTGGCGATATCGTGAGTTTCACAAAAAAGTAACCGACTGCAAATCTTTAACTTTAAAAATATGCGAGATATCCCGTAAGGACATAAAAAATGGGACAGCCTGTACAAAGATGAACGCTACAACAACGACTGTCTCGTTCTGAGACTAATGAATAAGTGTCAACTTCGATCGCATGGCATGATGATGACGAAACCGATGAATCGCCAGTTCCTGATAAATCTCAGATGATAAACCATTCTCAGAGTTTCCATTCATTTACGGAGTGATTTGAACTCCATCGCTAACAATACAATGTTTTTAAATGCCTTCGAGACATAAACTACTATCAATAATTTCGTCGCACCCCAAAATTTTGTACCTGCTAAAATTTGAATAACATTTTTCTTTTTTAAACAATTTGAATTAGGATTACACTGTTCGCTAGCCTTGTCCTCCAGCTATAATCTCGTACTTCTTTGAAACATGAGGTTCTTCATATAAAATCGCTACAGGGTGTCACATGAAACACTGAATTTCGGAATTTTTAAAAGGATCCCAACTGAACAAACACTTTTTTTTATACTACGACAGTAGAGGCATGAAGATGATCTCATTACCTAGAAACATTTTTCAAATTGTCTTCTTATCTCTTTTATTCACAGAGTGATCTCAAAAAATCAATTTTCTGGCCTCGCAAATGCAAAATTCGCTTGTCAAAGTGTCACTTTCGATCCTAATAAAACAATCTACCATTCATGAACACGACGAATAGTTATTTATTATACAAGGGGAAAAAGTAGTAGATTTTAGCTCCAGGGAGACAAAAAACGGTGAGCTGAAATCAAATATTTTTTCCGTGTATAATACACTATTTTTTTCTGTGACAGAAGAAAGGACGAATCAATATTGAGAAGATATTACATTATTTTGAAATCTGAAAATTATCGACGTGTTGTTTTTAACAGTAGGGACACCTGCGTTGTAGGCATCTTTATCATTCTTTTGAAGTAATCAAATATCTGATGTCACTTCTGTCAGTCTATTTCTGTGATTTCATTTCAAAAAATTGCGAATTTAGTGGTTGTTCTTTCTCGGAGACGGTATAATTGACTCATTTTTCGGAACTATAGCACAACAAAAGCCATCAACAGTGCATATAGGTATGTAATATATATCCGCGAAAAAAGTACTCACTTTTTTCCCACGGGAAAAAAGTAATTTATGAAAAGTGACATTTTATAACCTGCCAACAGAGATGAAATGCCAAACTTTTTTCCCGACACAGAAAATAGTTATTTGTTTAACTAGGCAGCAAAGTAGTAGATTGACTGCCGAGTTGAACATATAATTTTTTCTCCGATTGTTCATAATGATATGGGAGAATATTGTATTTGCGAATTAATACAATTCCCACAATCTCTTTATTCTTACTGTATAGTGTTCAATTAAAATAAAATTTTATAGAAATCGCAGTTGTTGGTTTGACAATTCATGAAATTTCTGACAGTTGTGCGAAAAAATATCGGTATATTTAAATTATTATACAGGGTGTTACATAATTCAATAAAAATATTTTAATGACATATTCCTGGGGTCAAAATAAGACTTTTTTTTCCTATAAACATGTGTCCTAAAATCCACCCCCTCCAAGCTACAGACATCGCAAGATGCGCAAAAAAAATCTTAAATTTTGAATTGTGGCTACAATTTATGCATCAAATATTTTGAAAATTCACAGGCACTTGTATTTTTAGACGATCTATTCATTTCTTGATTAAAAAATAAGGTAACTCGAATCGAAAGGGGTGAATGAGGGTTGCATACAGATTTGATGGCAAATATTTTCTATTTCCTCCAAGAAAATTTGAATTCAAACATCATCGTTGAATTGGCCACGAAAAAATCATACATTTCAGTCTCTTGCATTTTCTTGAATTAGCTAACCGTTTTAGAGAAAATCGCTAGTAAATGAAAGGGGTGTATTTTCAAATTATTATACTAAAAAATCTTAGTGAGCTATGATTATGTTTGTCTCTGGTAACTAATGATTAATTAATATATTTTATGCCAAACTGACATTGTGGTATGTCATAACCGTCATGTCACAATCGATTCACTTTCCTCAACTTACCATTACACGCGATGTTTGTAGCTTGGAGGGGGTGGATTTTAGGACACATGTTTATAGGAAAAAAAAGTTTTATTTTGAGCCCAGGAATATGTCATTAGAATATTTGTATTGAATTATGTAACACCCTGTATAATGGACAGTGATAGCGACCTGTTAGTATACATACACCTCCATTAATAAGGGAGGTGGCAAAAAATATAGAGTTGAATTTGTTGCCGGAGAAGTCTCGGATGGAATATGAAGGAAATTATAAACGATTTATGGATTTTTAATTTTGCTGATACATATTAATCAGCAAAGTACCCACTTTGCTGCCTAGACAGGAAAAGTAATACTTTGCTGATCGATATGTGTCAGCAAAATTAATATTTGCTGCCAATCGGAGGAAAAATATATTTTTTGTCTTTGCAGTACCGTGTCAACACGCCGTACAAGCGACGCAACTGCGGCCACAGCAGCGACAGCGAACCAGAACCGTCGGAAAAGCGAAGCTTGCACAACAACATGGAGCGCCAGCGCAGGATCGACCTGCGGAACGCCTTCGAAGACCTGCGCGTCCTCGTGCCGGAAGTGAGCAAAAAAGAAAGGGCCGCCAAGGTGGTGATACTCCGGGAGGCGGCGCAGTACTGCGACTTCCTCACCAACACCTCCGACATTTACGCCAAGCACATGGAGGACTTGAAGAAGCAGCAGGAGTGGCTGCGGTTGAGAGTGTCGCAGCTCAGGAGGAATTTAGCAGCCAAACGATAAGTACCTGTGTTGTTGTAGGAGGGTGGTGTACTAATCAGAGGTTTGTTCAGATTCGATACATTTTTATCGTTTAGAGTCTCGGAAACAGTTGAATGGGAGACTTTGCTCCAAGTTGCCAACCTAAGAACCTCTAACAATGTGTAGAAGCAACATTATGGAAGTTTGATTACTTAAATGGCTTTATTTGGAGTCTCGAGAAAAGTTGAATGGGATACTTTGCTCCAAGGTGCCAACCTAAAACCCTCTAACAATGTGTAGTACAACATTATGGAAGTTTGATTACTCAAATGGCTTTATTTAGATGGAACCTGATGCTAGGGGTCTACTCAGAGCTCTCTAATAGAAGTTATTCAGAAGAAAAATTAGTAGTTGTGAACTCTGCTTCCGATTATTTGAAAATTATGTTGATTCACTTGCACTCATTTCATATCATTCTTTTAAGGATATATCAGATAAAGACAGTGGCAGTAGCGTCACCCCCACTGCTACTTGATTGGCCAATAATGAACAAAGATTAGATGACGCAAACATTGAAGGTTACACTTTGTTATATTATGGCTGATGTTATATTATGGTCACAATTCAATAGACACGAGCACAAATGACATGAACAAGGGTTACACACTTGCTCTTAATTCGGCTGCCTGCCGAACACTGTATGAGCCAGTCTTCACACACGTCTGTCATAGGCTCTGATCTAAGCACATTCCACTGAGCAGTAACGCATCTAGTTGCTAGATGCTAACACACTTGAAATTTTAAGCTTTTTGCAGTGAATATTGGCGTCAATTTTTCATCATGTCAGCAGAACTCAGTCAGATGTCATAATTTAGACCAATATAACAGTAAAACTCGTGTTTTATTATTCTCTGTAGTAATTTTGTCCATGTTCTTCTTTATTTTGAAAAAATCGAATAATGATGGTGTCACTGGGGGGAAGGAACGAAAGGAATAGCCATGCCATAGCTTTGAAAGAGTGACAGATGGGTGACCAAGCACATGTGACCATTTTGCCAGAGTACCTTGATGGATTCGATTTTTTCAGTATATTATATAAACAAATCGATCAAGATACACTATACACTATCGTACCTCTGCTACTGCTACTGCAATAATATTCACACAGCATCAAATAGAGGTGGAGCTACTGCCACTACCAATACCTTTATGTGAATGAGCCTTCATGGAAAACTCTATTATCATTATCCTTTGGTAACAGTGAAATTTGATGGTTGCAGTAGGCAGAAGAGATATTATAAGGGTTGGCTTGGCTTCATGGTTTGCCAAAGTAATACTCAAATAAACAATAATACTTTGAAGGTGGCTGAAAGTACAAGACTATATTAGAACCAAGGTAACAACATAATATTATAGCATGAGATATTATGGGTATAGTAATGAAATATAAATAAACAACAATGAATTTGAAGACCTAATGACAACGATTACCATTTCGGTGATTTTTTTTTCAAGTCGAGAGTTGCCTAGAACGGTTTTGTTATTCTGTTACCTGACTTTGGAACCTTCATATCCAATATTCATTAAAGGTTTGAACCTATCTCATGAGAGTTCCTCGGTCAGATTCAATAGTTCAGTGTCACTGGTGATTAACTGAAATAAAACCTAAAACCCTAATGATTCGAAGTCTCTAAAGTACCGTTTTATTCGTGACATTATTGACACCATTGGCAGTATTGACGTAACGCAGATGCACCAACATATTAAGAACAATTTATTTTTCTGAATTTTATGGGAAAGGTGGGTAGACTTCTATACTCAGATTTCATTTAAATGAATCCATTATTTGAGTATTCAAACTTCCATAATGTTGCTTCTACATTGGTAGAGGTTTTAAGGCTGGCAAATTGGAGTGAAGATTCCTAATGGATCGGCACAATGTACAAATATAACTTTGTGAAGTATGATACATCTTCAGATGCAAAAGTTATAGGGTTTGTTTTGCACCATCAGAAAATGCTACCAGATGCAACAAATAATCATCACAGAGCACTATGGATTTCGAAAAATTGAAATGTGAAGTTGACGATTTTAAAAGTATGCAGTTTGTTGATATTTAATTGCCTAGTTTTCAAAACATTGAAGGTGAATATGCGAATCTGTTATTGGATATCTATCGCAGAAATTTGATAAAGGATATGAAAAGTATTACATGCAAGACACAAAAATAAATAATGAAATTAAACTATACTTATACAGGGTGATTCGGTTAAGAATTGGCAATCTCTGAACAACAGATAGTAAACACCAAAATACGAAGATTCAGCCCAACATGCCTTATAAAAATGTTGCAGATACTGGGTGGTGTTCTTGGGAAAAATATTATTTCAAATTCCTTCATGACTGGTCAAACATTCACTTTGGAATTTTGTTTGTTGGTGTTGTTAGTGATTTTCATTATTGTTTACTGCATTTTTTTCACTGTCCCTTCTCTGAGTTTATAATTTGAAATAATGGAAATGAAAAAATGGAAACACAAACCTTTAGAAGAGTTTAAAATCCGTTAGAGCTAGACAATTTCAAAAATACTACATTTTTCATGTGAAATTGAACTGGCCTTCTGATTTTCGACTTATTTCAATCATCATTTGATAGACAAAGAAAATATGGTGTAAGTTACCGAAGTATCAGAATGCCAGTGGCCCTATGAGCAATCACAAAATAAGTTACAAATTCGTATTTTTTCATGACAACATGTTCCTAGAAAACGAGGTTGATATTAATTTGTTCCATCTGGTAGATTTTTATGCTGGTTTAGAATAAACTCCATAAATTTGGTAATTGAGTTTACATCATAGTATTTTTTTAAAACATTGAAAAAGTAATCATGTATTTTATTCCACCGTGACATTCAGTATAGAATTTTGCAGTTTTGCTGAAACCTGAATTAATCCTTATCATTCTGGATATTCAGATGTTGAGTGTCGAATTTGAACAACCTCTGATTGAAATAATGTATGGCTGACTATTTTTATTGAAAAAAATATTTATGTACGAGATTTCATCATGATCGGTTCATAATATTAACTGTGATTTATTATTCTGTTATAAGGGTTAGAAAAGTAGTTCATTTTGTTGTTAATTTTCAAAAGAAGTTTTTTTTAAGTTTACTGGACAAATACTTTTAAATGTTTTTATTTTTGAGAATTCGGTGATGAAAACAATGTGATAAAATATGTACAGTTTTTGTTCTCCAATTCGGTTATCGGTAGTGATTTTGTTTTTGGAATTTTTCTTTTATACAAGTTGATTTTGATTTTAAAATGAGCTAAAACATTGTGAAGTATTTGCGAAGGAGCAATAATATAATAGTTTCATTTTTTTAATTATGTTCTTGTAAATCCGTGTATGTACATTATGTAAATTTTTTGTTTTTAAATCTAGGTTTCATCATACTATTTTTAATGTGTGAGTTATAAGATTTAATTTGTCAGAGTTTTATCTGACCGTTTTTACTATAGTTTGAAGATTCCAAAATGTTGTTTTTGATTTGGAAAAGTGTTGGAAGAAAATTTCACAAAAACCCTTCATCATGATTTTCGGGAAATAGATTTGTTGCTGGATGGTCCATAACCCTGAATAGAACGCCAGAATTCAATGTTTCACCCATAAATTTACAGTTCTCAACTCATGATACAGACCACTGATGATTTGGCACTTTTTTATGTATACAATACAACTACTAATCCATTCTGGCACAATAATACCTCAATTCTGAATTCTCTAAATAATAATTTTGAGGAACTGCGCCAATTGAATTTCTCAAAACTCCGATATGCCTCTGGGTCAACTCTTCCTCGACAGTTTCTTGGCACGCTTGCGAATAACCTTGAGGAACTGAGCAAATCGAATTTTTCAAGCCTATATAACTTCGAGTCAATTCTTCCTTGACAGTCTCTTGGCACGTTTGCGGATAATCTTGAGGAACTGCGCAAATTGAATTCTTCTAAACCCCGATATACCCCTGGTCAACTCTTCCTCGACAGTCTCTTGGCAGGTTTACGAATAATCTTAAGGAACTGCGCAAATAAATAGAATTTCTCAAAACCACGACATACCTTCGTATCAATTCTTCTTCAACACTCTCTTGGCACGTTTACGAATAACCTTGAGGAACTGCGCAAATTGAATTTCTCAAAACGCCGACATACCTTCGAGTCAATTCTTCTTCGACACTCTCTTGGCACGTTTACGAATAACCTTGAGGAACTGCGCAAATTCAATTTCTCAAAACTCTGATATGCATCTGGGTCAACTCTTCCTCGACAGTCTCTTGGCACGCTTGCGAATAACCTTGAGGAACTGCTCAAATCGAATTTTTCAAGCCTATATAACTTCGAGTCAATTCTTCCTCGACACTCTCTTGGCACGTTTGCGGATAATCTTGAGGTACTGCGCAAATTGAATTCTTCAAAACCCCGATATACCCGAGGGTCAACTCTTCCTCTACAGTCTCTTGGCACGCTTGCGAATAATCTCAAGGAACTGCGCTAATAAATGGAGTTTCTTAAAACCCCAATATACCTTCGTGTCAATTCTTCTTCGACACTCTCTTGGCACGTTTACGAATAACCTTGAGGAACTGCGCTAATCGAATTTTTCAAAACACCGATATACCACCGAGTCAACTCTTCCTTGACAGAATCTTGGCATGTTTGCGAATAATCTTCAGGAACTGCGCAAATTCAATTTCTCAAAACTCCGATATGCCTCTGGGTCAACTCTTCCTCGACCGTCTCTTGGCACGCTTGCGAATAACCTTGAGGAACTGCTCAAATCGAATTTTTCAAGCCTATATAACTTCGAGTCAATTCTTCCTCGACACTCTCTTGACACGTTTGCGGATAATCTTGAGGTACTGCGCAAATTGAATTCTTCAAAACCCCGATATACCCCCGGGTCAACTCTTCCTCGACAGTCTCTTGGCAGGTTTACGAATAATCTTAAGGAACTGCGCTAATAAATGGAGTTTCTCAAAACCT